TATCCCAATTATATACATTTAGCTTTATAATTACAGCAGGCCTAACAATGTTTAGTTTGTACCTCAGGGTTTTTGATGTAATTAAGCTAAAGTTCTACAAACAACTTTATTTATAGAGCACCTATCATACAAATAGCAGCTCAAAGTGCTTTACAAACCAGGCGTAAAAATATCATCTTAAAAACATAACAGATACGCAAACATCCTTTTAATTTAATAAGTTTTCGTCATGTGCGCTGAGGTTGTTACGAAACTTTAATTGACTTGATTCTGAAGCTCAGAAGGTGGAAAAGCCCAGTCTTTACTGTGGCCCTGATGCTGGGTCAGTGCCTGTCTGTGTAGAAGTACAGCTCTTGTCTGCTTTCTTCACTCTTCAGGCGTTGTCTTCACCCTTTTTCACTCATCATCTTCTCCACTCTTCACTCACATTGTCATTCTTCTTCACTCTTCACTTTTTGTCTTCACTCATCTTCACCCATGATCTTCACTCTTCAATCATCATCTTCACACATTATCTTCATTCTTAGTCACTCATCTTCAAACATTATCTTTACTTTTCCCTCATGATCTTCACTCTTCACTCACGATCTTCAGCTTCACTCATGATCTTCGCTCCTCGCCCATGATCTTCACTTATGATCTTCATCTTCACTCATGATCTTCACTCCGCGCTCATGATCTTCACTCCTTGCTTATGATCTTCACTCATGATCTTCACTCCTCGCTCTTGATCTTCACTCTTCACTCATGATCTCACTCTTCACCCATGATCTTCGCTCATGATCTCACTCCTCGCTCTTGATCTTCACTCTTCACTCATGATCTTACTCTTCACTCATGATCTTCACTCCTCACTCATGACCTTCACTGTTTACTCATGATCTTCACTCATGATCTTCACTCCTCGCTCATGATCTTCACTCTTCACTCATGATCTTACTCTTCACTCATGATCTTCACTCCTCACTCATGACCTTCACTGTTTACTCATGATCTTCACTCATGACCTTCACTCCTCGCTCATGATCTTCACTCCTCACT